GGCATGATCTTGGCTCACTGCAACCTCCACCTCCCGGGTTCAAGCAATTCTCCTGCCTCAGCCTGCCAAGTAGCTGGGATTACAGGTGCCCACCACCACGCCCGGCTAATTTTTTCTATTTTTAGTAGAGACAGGGTTTCACCATGTTGTCTAGGCTGGTCTCAAACTCCCGACATCAGGTGATCCACCTGCCTCAGCCTCCCAAAGTGCTGGGATTACAGGTGTGAGCCACCGCGCCCAGTCAGCAGTCCCTCCTTTAAGGGCTCTCAGCACACTTCCCATCTCTCTGGTCTGATCTCATACTCTGCCTTTCTCAGGGCAATCTCATCTGTCTCCTTCTGAACACAAGGTGGGGGATTGTTAGCAGAGCCCCCCCACCCCATTCCAGTTTTGTTTTTTGTTTTTTTTTTTTTGAGACGGAGTTTTCGCTCTTGTTACCCAGGCTGGAGTGCAATGGCGCGATCTCGGCTCACCGCAACCTCCGTCTCCTGGGTTCAGGCAATTCTCCTGCCTCAGCCTCCTGGGTAGCTGGGATTACAGGCACGCGCCACCATGCCCAGCCAATTTTTTTTGTATTTTTAGTAGAGACGGGGTTTCACCATATTGACCAGGATGGTCTCGATCTCTTGACCTCGTGATCCACCCGCCTCGGCCTCCCAAAGTGCTGGGATTACAGGCTTGAGCCACCGCGCCCGGCCCCCCATTCCAGTTTTGTTTAGGACATCAGTGCAAGGACAGCGGGAGTTCAGGCGTTCAGGCATGCTTAGGGCGAGGCTAATTAGCTTGGGGTGAGTTTCATCATGTGGGTGTGTCTTAGTCAGTCCTGGGCTGCTGCAACAAAATCCCTTAGAAGGAGTGATTAATAAACAACAGAAACTGATTGCTCGTAGCTCTGGAGGCTGGGAAGTCCAAGATCAAGGCGCCAGCAGATTCAGAGCCTGGTGAGGGCTTGCTCTCTGCTTCTGAAATGCTGCCTTCTTGCTGTGTTCTCACCATGGAAAGGGCGAGGGAACTAGCTGCAGCCTCTTCTTATATGGGCTCTGATCCCATCCACAAGGTGAAATCCTCATGATTTAGTCATGTCCCAAAGATCCTGCTTCTTGGTAGTCTCACACTGGATGTCAAGTTCCAACATATGAATTTGTGGGGGGACACTAACATTAAAAGCATAGGAGCCCGTCCTCAAGGCCATGGTCCTGGGATGGGCAGAGCTGCCCACAGCCTATTGTGCCAAGCCCCCTAGTTGGGTGATATCTCAGGTACATCTGGGTTGGAAGGGGCCCCAGGCTCTGTGTAGCTCAGAGATCCCCATCATTCTTTGCTTCAAACCGGAGGTTGGTCAGAGGTGACAGCAGCCCCAGCCAAGTGACGTGTGGCTGCTGATGCTCGTGCTTCCAGAGGGTGCAGGGCAGGTCTGTTTGAGGTCACTGCTGCAAGGCGCAGTTTGAATATTTTCAGCTGTATGTGAATGGCAGGGGCTTGGCCCGTGCACTGCATGTGTAGCTCATACTTGGTGGGCTGTGTAATATGTAGAGGTGTTGCCAAGGGTAGTGGAAATGTGGCCTTTTTCCAGCATAATCATGAGTCCCACCATTCCCCGCTCCTGCCCCTGCCCCTGCCCCTGCCCCTGCCCCCTGCGGCCAGGACCGCTCCCACTTGTGGAGTTGCTGGGATCTGCTGGAGGTGGAAGGACAAGGGCCAGTTGCTTTGTCCTGACTGACCAGTGTCCATTGCTGTGTCCCTCTGGACTCCTGACAGCAAGGTGTCCAGGGGAGGGTACCCTTCAGGGCTTTGCCCTTGGTGTTAGGCAGTTAAGCAGGTCCCCTTCACGACTCTGTGGCTGTGTCTGGAGAAGCGCAGGGGCTGCTTTGGATGCCAGGCCTGGTTTCCATAACATTCACTGAGAGGGGGAAGCTCAGAGACCAGAGAGGGTTGGGCAGGGCTCATCAGCCCTTCTCCTATGCAGGGCCACGTTCTTGCAGGACTCCAGGGAATGAGAAGATCCCCTGGGAGGCCTCTGGAGAAATCTAAGGCTAGACCTTCTCCAGCCAGCTCTTTGTCTAGCCTCTTCTCAGCAAACTTGAGACTCTGCCAGATCTGCCCTGCCTGGCCCTGAGCCGAAGCCCAAGATCCCCAGGATCTTCAAGATTAATTGTATTACCTTCTAGGGCTGCCAGAACAAAGTACCACAGACTGAGTGGCTTAAACAACAGAAATTTATTTATAGCTCTGGAGGCTGGAGGTCCAAGACCAAGGTGTCAGCAGGGTTGCTTTCTTCAGAGTCCTCTCCCGACTTGTAGATGGCCACCTTCTGGTGTTCTTACAGGGTCTTCCCTCTGCGTGTCTGTGTCCTCATCTCCTCTTATAAGGACCACGGGTCAGAGGGCCCACCCTAATGACCTCATCTTAATTATACTACATTTTGTTAACTTTTTTTTTTTTTTTTTGAGACAGAGTCTCGCTCTGTCGCCAGGCTGGAGTGCAGTGGCTAGATCTTGGCTTACTGCAACCTCTGCCTCCAGAGTTCAAGTGATTCTCCTGCCTCAGCCTCCCGAGTAGTGGGGACTGCAGGCGCCCGCCACCACACACAGCTAATTTTTGTATTTTTAGTAGAGACGGGTTTTCACCATGTTGGCCAGGATAGTCTTGATCTCCTGACCTCGTGACTGGCCCACCTCAGCCTCCCGAAGTACTAGGATTATAGGCATGAGCCACCGCGCCCGGTCGGCACATTTAGTTAAATTTTAATGGGTACTTAATTATACTTTAAAGACTCTATGTCCAAGTAAAGGCACTCTGTGAAGTACAGGGGTATAGGGTTTCAACAGAGGAATTTGTTGGGGCACAATTCAGCACACAGCACCAACAGATGCCCTGAGCCTGCGATCAAAGCTGTGCTCTCCCTGAGCCCCAGCCCAGGGTGCCTTCTGCAGCATCCTTGTTGGGCCGCTCCAGCCCATGCTGGCTGGGGACACAGCAGCTGTGCAAGGGGTCCGAGGTGTTGAGCACAACAGAGTCAGCTGTATCCCAGCTCATTTGTATTCAGCCCAGTCCTGGGGAGAGGAAAGCGGGGCTCTCAGGGATGCCGGGGGTGGCTCCCCCATTGCTTAGCTAAGGGGCACTCAGTTGCCACGGTGACCTCTGTCTGCACAGCCAAATACACTCGGCCCAGCCACTTCTCTGGGCTGGAGGGCTCCCCCCACCCAGAGTTCACACTGAGTGTTGAGTCCCTTGGTGACAAAAACATGGAAACGGTTGCCATGACAGCCATTCTTTGGAGCCCTCAGACTGGAGTGCAAAGTTCAGGATGCCCAGGAACAGCTGAAATGAAAATATGGGAAAGTCCGCTTCCCTCACCCTGTAAGGATGAGTCTGTAGGCATTCAGTGCTCCCCTGCGCCTGGCTGTACCTGTCCCTCCCCATCCTCTGGGCCATGTGTGGGTTCAGGAAGGGGACAGGGAGGTGCGCTGGGAGTGAAGGATCAGAGTGGCCCCCAGAGACATTGACAGAAGCTGGCCAATGGGGAGGGCAGGCTGAGCTGGGGGTGGGTCCATTGTCTGGCGTGGTAAGTGGGGAGGCGATGACTGATGGGCATTCCCTGGGGCTTTCCTGTGTCTTGGTTTCTTCAAGCTGCTGCTCCTTTCTCAGGAAGGCTCAAGTCTCTCCATGGCCTAGCCTGGGGAATAAAGGTGCTCTTCCCAGTGAAGGATACAGGGTGTGAGGTTGGGCTCAGCGAGGGGAAAGGATCCTGCTCTGACAGTGCAGGATTGGGGGAGGGGAGTGAGAGGATAGCTGTTTCTCTTTAACAGAGATGAGTACAGCAGAGGCCTCTCCAGGTATCCCCTGGCCTGGGGGCAATGATCGTGTGTCCACCCCTCCCAGGAGGTCCCCAAGAAGGTCCCATAAGGCTCTGGTGACCTGAGATACACCAACCAAAGGGTTCTGCAGTTAGGGTTTGAGAAACCAACACACATGTACAGGATTCTTAGGTTAAAGGCTCTGAAAAGTCCTGCAGTAAGGAACCTCTTGACTTTGTTTAACCTAGTATTTCACAAACTTACTAGAGCAAAGTTTCTCCTTTATTTTTTAAGCATCTCTTATTTTAGAAATCTCCTTTACTATCTTGCAGAAATAACATCTAGTAACATTTGTCCCCAAGTCAACGGCATCAACACCACCTGGGAACTTGTGAGAAAGGCATATTCTGGGGCCTCACCCAGATCTGTTGAATCTGAAGCTCTGGGGCAGGCCCCAGCAGTTTGTATTTTCACAAGCCCACCAGGGGATTCTGATGCATGTTCCAGCTTCGGAAGCCATGTACTAGGGAAAATACTGGTAGAGAACTGGGAGGAAGAGGAATGGTCTGGGGACCTTGGGTGGCACAGAGGAAGGGAGGCCACCTGGCAGGGATGGCTTAGGCATGGGAAGCGGGCAGTCCAAAGACCCCGGGGCTCTGGAAAAGGCACTATGGCCACCCCAAAGGGTGGGTTCTCATCTTCTGCTCCTGAGCATGGAGGACCCATTATGGTTTTCTGAGACTGGTTGGAGGGCCAGGCTGTGTGTGTGGAGCGTCATGAGGCCTGGTGTCAAGTAACTCGGGCCTTTGGAGAAGTGAGCTCCTGAGGAGCCTCCCACTCCTCTCCAGCACTGCTCCTGGGCAGACAGAGCTTGCCCAGAGTGCTGGGAGCATGGGCAGCACCTGTAGGCTTCTGGGACAAAGTGGGCCTTGACAAGGCCAGGAGATGGCTTGTCCCCATGGCAGTGCTGGGTGGCACGCTCAAAGCATAGGAAGTAAGACTTCTTGGAGCAGCGGCCTTGGCCCTGGTGTTAGCAGGTGGGGGTCTAGGATCAGCTTGCCACCGCCCACTCGCTCCCCCGTGGGACATCCTCTGCAGTCACGTCCTGGTGCCGGGTCTTCTTTCCCTTCTCCCCAGGCTCAGGCAGGGTGGACCTAGCCACAGCAGCTGTGGGCCCACTCGCCTGCCTGTGCTTCCTTGCAGCCGTCCAGATCCACATCCTGAAGGCGGACAAGGCGGGGGACTGGTGGAAGTTCACGGTGAACATCATCTCCGTGTACAAGCAGGGCACGAGCCGCATCCGCCGTGGCGACCAGAGCCTGTGGATCCGCTCGCGGGACATCGCCTGCAAGTGTCCCAAAATCAAGCCCCTCAAGAAGTACCTGCTGCTGGGCAACGCCGAGGACTCTCCGGACCAGAGCGGCATCGTGGCAGACAAGAGCAGCCTAGTGATCCAGTGGCGGGACACGTGGGCGCGGCGGCTACGCAAGTTCCAGCAGCGCGAGAAGAAGGGCAAGTGCAAGAAGGCCTAGCGCGGAGGCAGCAGGCGGGCAGGCGGGCGAGCGCCAGGGCCGGGCCGAGCTAGAGCGGGCGCCTCGGCCCGGCCGCTGCGGACTTGGCCCGCGAGGGCTTTCCCAGGTGGGGGGAGGGAGGGGGCGGGGCCGCACGGCGCGGGGGGGCGGGGCCCTCGGCGGCCCCACCCCCGGCCCCACCCTGCGCGCCCCGGGCGGGAGCCGCGTGCGCGCGGGGCGGGGTGCGCGGCCGGCCGGGCCCTGGAGAAATGAGGACGAGACGTAGCTACCTCACGGGGCTCCTTCCAGAGCAGAGACGCGCTTCCCTGGGGCTGGGCGCGGCCGCCGTGGAGGGGCTGGGGGCAGCCTGCCCTGGGGCCCCGGGGGCGGGCGCAGAACCGCACAGCTGGGACCCCAGGCGCGGGACGTGGATGGCGCGGAGAGAAGGATGGGAGGAGAACTGTGAATTCTCAGGCCCGCGTCCTGGGCGGGGCGCCGAGCACCGACCAAACCGACACCCCACATATAGCAGACGAAATCCTCCCTTTCTCCCCGGCCCCATCCGTCTAGCATTCCCACCGACCGCCGGGCTGTCACAGCCTGGGCTCCATCTGAAGGGGCCTGGCAGCATTTGGGGAGCGGACAGCCGCCTGTCTAGCCAGCCTCTGTCTCCACTGCCACCTGCTGAGTGGGTCCTCCTGGGTGGGGTCTTGGGGTGGGGTGGGGGGGATTCACCTGTGGAGAGGGGAGAGGAGGCCCCTGCTGCTGCCTGCCTCTGCCCCTGCCCAGTGTGGGGCTGGTCCAGGATTCTCGCCCATCTGGAGAGCAGTGGGCTCAGGGACACCCCTGAGAAGCCCAAACCGGGTGGTCACCGCCTCATGCTGGAGCTGCCTGTTGGAGGAGGCATCACAAAGGCAAAACCTCCCAGAGAGTTTCCTTTTGGAAACTTGGAAACAGCCCCTTTTATGACATTTTCCAGGGTAGGGGGAAGGGGCACCGGCTGGGTTTACCGCAGTGACACTATTTATGTAATGACATCAGCTCCCGCAAGGCCCCTCAGCAATGTCAACAGCTGGAAAGGGCCTGAACCAGCATGGAGTCTGCAGGTTTCGAAGGCACTTGGGCCTGGCTTGGGGCAGAGGGCTTGCTTGAGCTGGGACGGGGTTTGCTGGTTCAGCAAAGTACCAGAGTGCCTGAGCCATGGGTGGGCAGGGGTGCAGAAATGACCAGGCCATGTTGGCTTCCCCAAGAAAAGGCACAGAAGCTGCCGGGCCTGCCCCCTGCAGCTGTCTTGGTCTGGCCTGGGCCACACCTTGCCTGTGCCTTTCCAGACAGTCTCTGTGGCGTCTGCCCGTGCCCTCCACTGTGCCCCAGCCCTCCTTCGAAGATCTCCTAGAGATGCTGTCCTCAAGCAGGCAGCCCCTTTTGTTCTGACTGCCTCACACAGGGTCCATTCCTGCGCCCAGGGGCCTTCTGGCTCCCTGCCTTCCTGGGCTCTCTGCACGGCCTGGGCCTCTGGCCCATGTCCTCACACCTGGCGCACTGAATTAGAGGCCTGGCGTCCCTCACAGTCAGGAAATTAGTTTCACTTTCCTGGCCAGAGTTTGGCTGCTCAGAAGGGTCATACCAAGTATGACGCTCGGCCCGGAGGTAGTCTGGCTTCCCTCTGCCTTCCCCACTGCTGCCTACATCATGGCTGCCATTTATTGAGCACCTGCTGTGTGCCAGGCACTTTACCCACATGCTCCCAGCGTGTGCTCATGACAACCCTGTGGGACAGGGACCCGCTATCACCAGCAAGGAAACTGGAGTACGCGTGCCCAAGGTCATGCCTCAAATTGGTGGCAGGACTGGGGCCCAGACTCCAGAGCCCGACTTTATGATCACAGGCCATGCTGGCCCTCCCTGCAGTCCTGCTCTGCAGCCCGCCCACTCAATCCCTGTGCAGGCTGTGAGGGTGCTCTTGGGGGAGTGGCCACTGAGCCGCTGGCCCTGGTTATTGCCTCTTGAGGACACTGGCATTTGGCCTGGAGAACAGGAGCCCAGCGGGGGGTAGGACATAGGCACAAACAATCACATCTTCAGAAGAGGCAGCAAAGTGGTGGGGACACAGGGACGGACTCTCCAGACAGCAGCTCCGGGTTCCAGGAAGGCAGGCCTTGGCTTCTCCGAAGAGGTGGTAGAGGGTGGTTCGGCTGCCTGGGGGTGGTTGGAGAGACTCCAGGAGAGACTGGCAGAGGTGCCTCATGGGCAGGGGGCAGACAGACCTGCCCTGAGAAGGGGATTTGGCTTCCCTGAATCCAGCCCAAGGCTAGAAGACAGGGCCCTTCTCCAAGCTGTCAGCGCCCCTCGGATGCCCAGTGTGGCCCGCTGGGTGCCATCAGCATCACAAGGCACTATGCCGCTGGGGCAGTTGTCCTGTTTCTGTCTATGCCAGTGTGGTTTCTTCACCCTGTCCAGAAGGGCTGTGGCAGCTCCACAACATCCCACCCTGGGTCTGGGTGTCACTGGTGTCCTGTGAGGGGCTTGCACTTGTGGTCTCTGAGGTCCCCTTAACAACAGAGCCAGCGTCACACCAAGCAACAAGGCATCTTGCAGAAAATTCAGCCACTCTCCTGCCCCTCCCTCTGGCTCAGCACCCCAAGGGCACAGGCTGCCCACCCAGTGGCCTGGCCCTTGGGGAATGCATCAGGGTGACCAGATCCACCAGGCTAGGGGCCAGGTCACTGTTGAGATTGCACGGTCATCACGGGCTGCCTTCCCTATCCACACACCCAGCCAGAACGCAGCCCATCACTCCCGACTGCAGCCCTACCTCCACCCGGCCTCTGCAGTGAGCACCATCCTTGGGAAAGCACCCCTCCTGCACTCCTGTGCCTCACTCCAGGGAGCAGAGGGAAATGGGAATTGAGGTGTTCCGGTTTGTACAGTTAGGAAGGGATGTAAAACGGAACTAGATTTTGATTTTGAAGAGTGTATTAACCAGAATCGTGCTATGTAGGTGTTTGAAGAAAAACATACCAGATTAGTCTTTGTTTTTGCAACAGATTCCCCAGTTGTCCTCTTTCTTGCCAGCTGGGTGGTTCGGTGCCCCCGATAGCTGGGTGCCTGCTTTACGGACGCGCAGTAATGCCCAAGATTTGCGGGGTGTGGGGGAGGACATAGGGCTACCCCCGGGACTCACTGCAGGCTGTGGTCTGCCCACTGCTTCTGTCCATGGAAAGCAGGGCAGGAGGCAGCATCCCCAGAGGCATCTATGTGGGAGGGAGGGAGGGACACCTGGGTCACAGCCCAGGGAGGCTGGGAGCTGCTCCAAGGCCCTTAGTGACTTCCTGGAACTCTGCCTCAGTGGCGGCACACTGGAGAGGGTGCACCCCAGGTTGGAATGAGACTGAACTCAAGAAGAGACCCTAAGGGACTGGTGAATGGTTCCTGCCCCCAGGAAAGCGAAAGACGCTTACGCTGTCAACACTTAAAGGAAGCCCCCTTGAAGCCCAGAGAGCGGCCAGACTAGACTCATTGATGGGCCATTGGGCCACGCTCCGTGGACAAGACATCCCTGTGGGCCACAGCCACGGCACACTGGGGGGATCAAAATGTGTACTTGTGGGGCCTCACCCCTGCCAAAAGCCAAGTCAGTCCCACTCCTGCCATTGGACGTTTCTTCCCCTTCCCTGCTCCCAAATGCACTCCCCTCCTCCCTCGGCCCCCTCCTGTGTTTTGGATTTCTGTTCACTCAGACTTGTAAATGTTTAGTTGTGACCATGACGTATTGTTTGGGTCAATGTCCCTTTCCAATGCATACTAATATATTATGGTTATTATATATGAATATATTTAATGACATGGAAAAAGTTGTGGATTTTCTTTAAGTTTCTTTCCTTTTTTGGGGGGGTGGTTAGAGTTGTAATGGACCCAGATGGAACTTGTAACGTGGGCCCCACATGATAGAACTAAATTCAGATATCATTAAATAAACTCTTGTACACTGTGCTGTCTCCCAGTGTTGATTGGTGGCCTGGGCTGCGGGTGGCGGGCGTGTCGGGAGGCAGGAGGAGGATGGAGTTTTTGGGCAATTTGAGGAATATGGTTTCAGGCTGAAGAACTCCCCGCAAGACAGAGCCCAGGTTTTTCGCAAAGCCTCAGAGACAGAGCCCTGACTCCCCCAAAAAGGCAGGAAAAGAGCAGTTTTGCTTGGAATGTCTTAGGGGCTTGCTGGCTGTGAATGCTGTTTGGAGCTAAAAGGCTATCGAATGGACAGTCTGTCTGTATTGCAGTCTGCAGGAAACCACTCAGGGGACCCATCCTTGCCATTCCCTGGAGTTCCAGTACAGAGGGGGACCCCAAGGGTCACCGGAAAGGGGGTCCCCTCCCACTTGTCCTGCCTACAGCCCCTGGGCAGAGAGCCACCTTTGACCTTCGCCATTTGATTCAGAAGCTGCAGGTAGTTTCTGCCTTTTAAGCCAAGTAGAGACTCAAGAAACTACAGCAGGGTTAGTGAAACTCAAGAGAGCTTGCAAAATATTTTTTTTTCAAGTGATTGCTAAAGGCTTTGTGCGGTGCAGAGACTGGGCCAGTGCCAGCACCACGCAGCCACCAAGAGCTGAGCTCACTTGGTTTCTGAGAGGCTATATTTAAACCTCCAAATGGTTGTGATTTCTTTATTAAATAAACAATTCAGTCATTAGGAACATGTTGTGTTGCCATGCAGAGTGGGACTGATCGTCACCAGGAAGCTATAATTTCTGCACCCAGCTATTTTGAAGGCAAGCCTCAGCAACGGGCCTGGTCTAGCCCCTCAGCAACGCAGGCTCCACAGGCCCTTCCTTCGAAGGCATAGGAAGCCCCTTCCCTGCCGTGTGTAGAGCTGACTGGAGATGCCATTAGCTTCTGCTCAGGAAGAAATAGGGCCAGCTCTGCTGCCTCGGGGGGGTCTGGCTCTGGGGACAGGAGCTAGGCTCTCCAGAGCCTGGGGTCAAAGCCAGGGCAAGTGGATACGTGAGTGGTCTCTGGGTGTCCCAATCAGTCTCAGGTTTAAGTCCCTGCTGGAATGACAATGTCTGGGGGTGGTGAGTGGGCAGTGATGAGATCCAGGTCTCAGTTGGCCAGACAGGCTAAGGAGCGAGCAAGCCTTTTCTGGGGGTCTCAGGTGCTCCCCAGGGCCAGTGGGGCCTTTGGTAGGATTTAAGACCCACTGAGACACTGGGCTAAGAAGTCTGTGATGCACTTGTGGCAATTTCATTCTCTGCTTTGGTCATTTTAGGTCAAGGGTCCAGTTCTCAAGGACCTTCATGATGTGGCTTTTTTCTGTCCATTAAAAAAAAAGTCTGGCCAGGTGCAGTGGCGCAGGGAGGCCGAGGTGGGTTGATCACTAGGTCAGGAGTTCAAGACCAGCCTGGCCAAGATGGTGAAACCCCATCTCCACTAAAAATACAAAAATCAGCCAGCCATGATGGTGGGTGCTGCAGTCCCAGGTATTTGGGAGGCTGAGGCAGACAGCTGCTTGGACCCAGGAGGCGGAGGTTGCAGTGAGCTGAGATCACCCCACTGCACTCCGGCCTGGGCGACAGACTCCGTCCACCACAGTCAGGCCCTGTGAGGGTGGCTGCAGCCCCAGGCCTGAAGGAAACCCACCGTTGCTCAGTGACACATCTGGATGTGTACTGTCAGTAGCCCCTCTGCCTCCCAGGGCCCTGTGCTCAAGCTGGGGGGAGAGGGCATCTGCCAAACTCAATGCAGGGAATAAGCTGGGTTGCTACTAAGACTGGTCCAAGTAGTGGAAAAAGCCCATTTTAGAGACTGGAATACTGAGTCACAAGGAAGCTGGGTGATCACCACCAGAGACCCAGAAGCCAGTGCCATCCTGTCAGAAATGCCTGATGGTGGGAGGGCAGGGACCCTGCAGGTGTCAGAGGTTCACGGGGCCTCCCGGCAGTCCAAGCTGCCATTGGGGAGCTCACTCATTCATAAGGCTCTCCCCTGCATGTTCCCCTCCACCTCCCAGAGACAGCGCCCTGGCATGGGATGCCCGCTTGTGGCATACACACCTGTAGATTTCAGATGATGTTGAACAGACATCTCTTTCTCTGCTCTTCTTAAAACCAAATAAAGACATATAAGAAATAGGCCAAGAAAAATGGGGAATGAAAAGAATAACGGAGCCAGTAAGAAACAGGCTATGGACGGATTACACTGCTGCTTTATCAGACTGGAGCCTCAGCGGGGGGACGACTCATTTCTGGAAAGAGGTCAATGTCTTTTGTCATTGGCATGTAGGTGGGAAGAAGTCTGTGAAAATTGTAGGAAGCAATCAGAGGAAAGATGGGTCTGGGTAAAATAAGGGGCAAAAACCCACTTAACTTCATCAGGGCTGGGTTAGAAAATCCAACTAGCTAAGAGATGATCCTTAACTAGTCCCTGTTTAAGATGTCGGTGTCACTGTGAACCTCAAGAAGCAGGGGATAGGATTCTAAGAGGCTAAGGTGCTCTTTCCCGACTAGGAGGAAAAATGTGGCTGTTTGGCCAGCCAGCAGTTCTCTCTATGACTAGGCAGGAGAGAGCCTGGCAGATTTGAAGAGGGGCTATCGGGAACCTCCATCGGCCTTGAAGAAGGAGAGTTTCAGGGATTTAGCTCACGGAGAAAGCCCAGTCCCAGCCAGGCGGAAGGCTGCAGGCAGCAGAGAAAGGATTTTCTCTATCAAAGCCACAAATGACGTGGAGGCCGTGTCCAGGCGGGGGCCCTGTGGGTTTTGAAAGGAGCTGATCATCTTGGGGCTCATGACAGCTAAGGTTTAGTTACAGTTACTAATAAAAATGAAGTTTAAATGGAAACAAAAATACCAGCTGTACCCAGGTATCTGGATTTCTTTATATGGTATCTAGAGTTAAAAAGCTTATAATTAATAATCGGTTAAGTTAAACAGTACTTATACTGTTATTTTAATCACATTTATTTTCATTGAAAAGGCACCCGAGGTGGTGGCTGTTAAGGCCCTGCCTTGCCTCTCTTTTTTTTTTTTTTTTTTTTTTTTTTTTTTTGAGACTGAGTTTCGCTTTTGTTGCCCAGGCTGGAGTGCAATGGCAAGATCTCGGCTCACCACAACCTCTGCCTCCTGGGTTCAAGCGATTCTCCTGCCTCAGCCTCCCGAGTAGCTGGGATTACAGGCATGTGCCACCATGCCCAGCTAATTTTTGTATTTTTAGTAGAGACAGGTTTCTCCATGTTGGTCAGGCTGGTCTTGAACTCCTGACCTCAAGGAGGCCTTGGCCTCCCAAAGTGCAGGTATTATAGGCGTGAGCCACCGTGCCTGGCCTTGCCTCTGTTCTTTATGCTGGGGGTGAGGGCTTAAGGCTCGCCCAGCCAACTCCAAATCACTCACTGCGGGTCCCCAGGGACTGTGGTCCTGGCAGCTTTAAAGGGGGAAATGCCAAGTCTTGCAAACCACGGTGGAAAATGCCACCTTTACATCAGCCATGCTCTCTAGGGTGGCTCTTGAGGCAACAGATTCCCCAGAGGGACACATCCCGGCCACTTGGGTATGCGTGCCACTTCTGTCCTGGCTGGGGTGGGGGTCTCACATGACACCCACCACATGGGGAAGACTAAGGGGAGCCAGGGTTCTCCTACCCGCCCGTCCCCACCGTGTGTCCTGCTCGGCCCAAAAGCTGGATGGCAGGTCCTTGCATTCTGACCTCCTGGGTAGCTCTTTATCCACCCTGCCCTGCCTGTGGGTCCAGAGAAGTGAAGTAACTTGTCCAGAGTCACCCAGCTAGCAGTGCTGGGGTCGGGCCTAGAGCGCATTCAGCCAAAAGAACAGAAGCTGCTGTGTGCAGACATCAGCTCAGTGTTTTGCTTGAAAAGGCCTTTCAGTCTGACTGAGCCAGGACTCCGTGGCTCTCGTTCAAAGACGCCCCACGAGTTGCTGGGGCTCCGTGCTGCGCAAGTCAAGAGGAGGTGAGAAAGTCAAACAGACTGTCAATGCTGCTTCCCCTGAGCCCCAAAGTGGGGGCTCCCTCCAAGGAGACAGTGTTTGTAGAGATTTGGGGTCTCGCACAAGACTGGAAGATGAGGCTCTGCAGATTCTTGATCTTCCTTTGGATGATCCATTAGCAACCACCCCACCCCGACGAGGACGTACGTCCCAGGGACCCTTACCAGCCAAAAGCCCTGGGCCCCTGTCCAGCGTGACCCCTCTCCTTCAGGAACACACGCACCTACCACTAACCCACTTCCCTTCCCTCTCCTTCCTGTGACAATCCGGGTCCCTGGCGGCAGGGCTCATCCTCAGTGCTGCCCCTACTCTTCGCCCTCTCAGCCCTTTGCACCTCCCATCTGGACACAGCCCGTTTCATTCTGCTCTGTTTTGACGGCCTCAACATCCCAAGGCTAGCCTGGGTCTGCCTGTGTTGGCAGCTCCTGGAAGCAGGAATCAGGCTGGAAAGAGACAGGAGAGCGTTTTCCTGCACCCTGCTTCACGCTCACAGCCTCGCAACAGTCTGTCCTATTGCACTAGGTGGAAGCAGGTGACAGGGCCCTGAGCTGTGGACCTGGAGGCGTCTGGCCCACTGGGCTCAGACTTGGGTTGGGGAAGAAACTTTTTAGTGGAGCCAAGCAGAGCGCTCTGTGCTTGTGTGTGCCAACTCACGCTGTCCTCACAGCAACCCTGCGAATAGGAAGGAAGCCTCCTCTCCATGTCCTAGACAAGGAAACAGAGGCAGAGGAAGGAGACCTGCCCGTGCTCACTGAGCTGGTAAGTGGTGTGGCTCTCATTAGGGCCGTTCACTGCATATTTCAGGCTTTGGCCTTCTGGACACGTCCTGGTCCCCTCATGGTGGAGCAGGCCAGGTGATGAGTTCTGGCCAGTGAGGTATGAGCAGAGGTGTGGGCAGTGAGCTGTGAGCAGAAGGTGATGGCTTTGCTTCTGGGCTGCACATTTCACCGCTGGGGTGAGCGCTTCCAGAGTTCCCTTATCCTTTGCCCGAGAGAGCACAGT